TATTAAATAGGGAAATCTTTCCCCATTTCTTGTTTTTGTCAGGTTTGTCAAAGATCAGATGGCTGTAGATGTGTGGGATTATTTCTGAGGGCTCTGTTCTGATATAGACCAACAGAGACCATTGGTCTATATCTCTTTTTTGGTACCAGTACCATGCTGTTTTGGTTCCTGTACCCTTGTAGTATAGTTTGAAGTCAGGTAGCTTGATGCCTCCAGCTTTATTCTTTTAGCTAAGGATTGTCTCGGCTGTGCGGGCTCTTTTTTGGTTCCATAAGAACTTTAAAGTAGTTTTTTCCAGTTCTGTGAAGAAAGTCATTTGTAGCTTGATGGGGATGGCATCAAATCTACACATTACCTTGGGCAGTATGGCCATTTTCACAACATTGATTCTTCCTATCCATGAGCAAGAAATGTTCTTCCATTTGTTGGTGTCCTCTTTTATTTCGTTGAGCAGTGGTTTGTAGTTCTCCTTGAAGAGGTACTTCACATCCCTTGTAAGTTAGATTCTCCTAGGTATTTTATTCTCTTTGAAGCAATTGTGAGTGGGAGTTCATTCATGATTTGGCTCTCTGTTTGTCTGTTACTGGTGTATAAGAATGCTTGTGATTTTTGCACATTGATTTTGTATACTGAGACATTGCTGAAGTTGCTTATCAGCTTAAGGAGATTTCGGACTGAGATTATGAGGTTTCCAAAATATACAATCATGTCATCTGCAAACAGGGACAATTTGACTTCTTCATTTCCTAATTGAATACCCTTTATTTCTTTCTCTTGCCTGATTGCCCTAGCCAGAATTTGCAACTCTATGTTGAATAGGAGTGGTGAGAGAGGGCATCCCTGTCTTGTGTCAGTTTTCAAAGGGAATGCTTCCAGTTTTTGCCCATTCAGTATGATATTGGCTGTGTGTTTGTCATAAATAGCTCTTATTATTTTGAGATACATCCCATCAATACCGAATTTATTGAGAGTTTTTAGAATGAAGGGCTGTTGAATTTTGTCAAAGGCCTTTTCTGCGTCTCTTGAGATAATCATGTGGTTTTTGTCTTTGGTTCTGGTTATATGCTGGATTACGTTTATTGATTTGCATATGTTGAACCAGCCTTGCTTCCCAAGGATAAACCCACTTTGTCATGGTGGATAAGCTTTTTGATGTGCTGCTGGATTTGGTTTGCCATTATTTTATTGAGGATTTTTGCATCGATGTTCATCAGGGATATTGGTCTAAAATTCTGGTTTTTTGTTGTGTCTCTGCCAGGCTTTGGTATCAGGATGATGCTGGCCTCATAAATGAGTTAGGGAGGATTCCCTCTTTTTCTATTCATTGGAATAGTTTCAGAGGGAATGGTACCAGCTCCTCTTGTACCTCTGGTAGAATTCGACTGTGAATCCGTCTGGTCCTGGACTGTTTTTGGTTGGTAGGCTATTAATTATTGCCTCAATTTCGGAACCTGTTATTGGTCTATTCATGGATTCAACTTCTTCCTGATTTAGTCTAGGAAGAGTGTATGTTTCCAGGAATTTATCCATTTCTTCTAGATTTTCTAGTTTATTTGCATAGAGGTGTTTATAGTATTCTCTGATCATAGTTTGCATTTCTTTGGGGTCATTGGTGATATCCCTTTTATCGTGTTTTATTGCACCTATTTGATTCTTCTCTCTTTTCCTCTTTATTAGTTTTGCTAGCATTCTATCAATTTTGTTGATCTTTTCAAAACACCAGCTCCTGGATTCATGGATTTTTTGAAAGGATTTTTGTGTCCCTATCTCCTTCAGTTTGCTTCCATCTTAGTTATTTCTTGCCTTCTGCTAGCTTTTGAATGTGTTTGCTCTTGCTTCTCTAGTTCTTTTAATTGTGATGTTAGGGTGTCAGTTTTAGATCTTTCCTGGTTTCTCTTGTGGGCATTCAGTGCTATAAATTTCCCTCTACACACTGCTTTAAATGTGTCCCAGAGATTCTGGTAAGTTGTGTCTATGTTCTCATTGGTTTCAAAGAACATCTTTCTTTCTGCCCTCATTTCGTTGTGTACCCAGTAGTCATTCAGGAGCAGGTTGTTCAGTTTCCATGTAGTTGAGTGGTTTTGAGTGAGTTTCTTAGTCTTGAGTTCTAGTTTGATTGCACTGTGGTCTGAGAGACAGTTTGTTATAATTTCTGTTCTTTTACATTTGCTGAGGAGTGCTTTACTTTCAACAATGTGGTCTATTTTGGAATGAGTGTGATGTGGTGCTGAGAAGAATGTTTATTCTGTTGATTTGAGGTGGAGAGTTATGTAGATGTCTATTAGGTCTGCTTGGTGCAGAGCTGAGTTCAATTCCTGCATGTCCTTGTTAACTTTCTGTCTCGTTGATCTGTCTAATGTTGACAGTGGAGTGTTAAAGTCTCCCATTACTATTGTGTGGGAGTCTAAGTCTCTTTGTAAGTCTCTAAGGACGTGCTTTATGAATCTGGGTTTTCCTGTATTGGGTGCATATATATTTAGGATAGTTAGCCCTTCTTGTTGAATTGATCCCTTTACCATTAGGTAATGGCCTTCTTTGTCTCTTTTGATCTTTGTTGGTTTAAAGTCTGTTTTATCAGAGACTAGGATTGAAACCCCTGCCTTTTTTTGTTTTCCATTTGCTTGGTAGATCTTCCTCCATCCCTTTATTTTCAGCCTATGTGTATCTCTGCACTTGAGATGGGTCTCCTGAATACAGCACACTGATGGGTCTTGACTCTTTATCCAATTTGCCAGTCTTTGTCTTTTAATTGTACCATTTAGCCCATTTACATTTAAGGTTAATATTGTTATGTGTGAATTTGATCCTGTCATTATGATGTTAGCTGGCTGTTTGCTCAATAGTTGATGCAGTTTCTTCCTAGCATCTATGGTCTTTCCATTTTGGCATGTTTTTGCAGTGGCTGGTACTGGTTGTTCCTTTCCATGTTTAGTGCTTCCTTCAGGAGCTCTTGTCAGGCAGGCCTGGTGGTGACAAAATCTCTCAGCATTTGCTTGTCTGTAAAGGATTTTATTTCTCCTTGACTTATGAAACTTAGTTTGGCTGGATATGAAATTCTGGGTTGAAAATTCTTTTCTTTAAGAATGTTGAATATTGGCCCCCACTGTCTTCTGGCATGTAGAGTTTCTGCTGAGAGATCCACTGTTAGTCGGATGGGCTTCCCTTTGTGGGTAACCCGATCATTCTCTCTGGCTGCCCTTTACATTTTTTCCTTCATTTCAACCTTGGTGAATCTGACAGTTGTTTGTCTTAGGGTTACTCTTCTGGAGGAGTATCTTTGTGGCGTTCTCTGTATTTCCTGAATTTGAATGTCGGCCTGCCTTTCTAGGTTGAGTAAGTTCTCCTAGATAATATCCTGCAGAATTTTTCCCAACTTGGTTCCATTCTCCATGTCACTTTCAGGTACACCAGTCAGATGTGGATTTGGTCTTTTCACATAGTCCCGTATTTCTTGGAGGCTTTGCTCATTTATTTTTACTCTTTTTTCCCTAAACTTCTCTTCTCGCTTCATTTCATTCATTTGATCTTTAATCACTGGTACCCTTTCTTCCAGTTGATCGAATTGGTTACTGAACCTTGTTCATGTGTCACATAGTTCTCATGCCATGGTTTTCAACTCCATTAGGTCATTTAAGGACTTCTCTACCCTGGTTATTCTAGTTATCCATTCATCTAATCTTTTTGCAAGGTTTTTAGCTTCTTTGTGATGGGTTCACACTTCCTCCTTTAGCTCAGAGAAGTTTGATCGTCTGAAGCCTTCTCTCAACTTGTCAAAGTCACTCTCCGTCTAGCTTTGTTCCATTGCTGGCAAGGAGCTGCGTTCCTTTGGAGGAGAAGAGGCACTCTCATTTTTAGAATTTTCAGCTTTTCTCCTCTTGTTTCTCTCCATCTTTGTGGTTTTATCTACCTTTGGTCTTTGATGATGGTGACGTACAGATGGGGTTTTGGTGTGGATGTCCTTTCTCTGTGTTAGTTTTCCTTCTAACAGTCAGGACCCTCAGCTGCAGGTCTTTTGGAATTTACTGGAGGTCCACTCCAGACCTGTTTTCCTGGGTATCAGCAGCAGAGGCTGCAGAACAGTGAATATTGTTGAACAGCAAATGTTGCTGCCTGATCGTTCCTCTGGAAGCTTCGTCTCAGAGGGGTACCTGGCCATGTGAGGTGTCCGTCTGCCCCTACTGGGGTGTGCCTCCCAGTTAGGCTACTCAGGGGTCAGGGACCCACTTGAGGGGGCAGTCTGTCTGTTCTCAGATCTCAAACTCCGTGATGGGAGAACCACTACTCTCTTCAAAGCTATCAGACAGGGACATTTAAATCTGCAGTTGTTTCTGCTGCCTTTTGTTCGGCTATGCCTTGCCCCCAGAGGTGGAGTCCACAAAGGCAGGCAGGCCTCCTTGAGCTGCAGTGGGCTCCACCCAGTTTGAACTTCCCACCTGCTTTGTTTACCTACTCAAGCCTCAGCAATGGCGGGCGCCCCTCCTCCAGCCTTGCTGTCACCCTGCAGTTCCATCTCAGACTGCTGTGCTAGCAATGAGTGAGGCTCTGTGGCTGTGGGACCCTCCAAGCCAGGTGCAGGATATAGTCTCCTGGTGTGCCATTTGCTAAGACTCTTGGAAAAGCTCAGTCTTAGGGTGGGAGTGACCCAATTTTCCAGGTGCTGCCTGTCATGGCTTCCCTTGGCTAGGAAAGGGAATTCCCTGACCACTTTTGCTTCCCACGTGAGGTGATGCCTTGCCCTGCTTTGGTTCTGTCTTGGTGGGCTCCACCCACTGTCCTGCACCCACTGTCTGACACGGACCAGTGAGATGAACCCGGTACCTCAGTTGGAAATGCAGAAGTCAGCCGTCTTCTGCGTTGCTCACGCTGGGAGCTATAGACTGGAGCTGTTCCTTTTCGGCCATCTTGGAACCCAGCAAAAGCTATTTCTTATTTGCAGAGGCATCCAGTGCATATTTATTAAGATTAATGCATATTATTAAAAATTACATTTATTTTTACAGATCCAAGAAATTGACACAAATAATGAGCAAGAAAATGATTATGAAGAGGATATTGCCTCATTTTCCACATATATTCCTTGTAAGTTTTTCTATGTTTCATATATATATGTGTCATATCCATATATATATACCACATATATATGTGACTTATGGAAGATGTAACTGAAAAAGCAAGACTGAAGAGAATGTGGCATGGTATTTAATTAACTGGCTTTTAATTTGTAATAGAGACACTACTACATCATGTTGCTAATTTAAATGCTTTTAATACGTTCAAGTTTTAGTAATCAAATACTGATTTTTCCTACCCAGAGGGAATACACAAATAACTCTGTTATGATTATTTGGACTATTTGGCAACTACATTTTTAAAGTTTTTTAAAAACACAAAACCACGTTCTTTGCAGACCTTAGTTTTCTCAGTTACGAAATGAGAACATTGAACTAGAATACTCTCTAAGGTCCTCCCTGGTTCTATATCTGTGATTCTACATTCTAAAGTCTGAAGAAATAATTCATCATGTTCCTACATGTATATAAACGTATAAGTTTATATACACACTCACATATATGTGTATATATAGTTATATACACATATATATGTGTATATATATAGACAGTTATATACACATATATATACACACATGTATATATACATGTTTATATGTGTATGTAAACTCTACCCATTATGCCAGGTTTTATTGGCATACAGCTCAACAGCTTCACCAGCATGTTTGATAGGAATCTCACACCCAACATTTTTGAAAATTCTGATTCCTGCCATTGCCAAACCTCTCCACCTGATGACTTCCCCATCTCAGTAAGTGAAAACTCCTTCCCTCCTTTGTTCAAGTCAGTTAAAAAATCCTTGAAAGTCATCCTTGGCATTTTTACTTTCTCTCCTATCCCATGTGCAATCAGTCATACAATACTGTTGACTCTACCTTCAAAATATTCCCAGCATTCAGCCATTTCTCTCCCCTTTCATTATCCTAGTCCACACCATCATCAGTTCTCCCTTTGTTTACTGCAGTAACACAGTGGAGAAATGGAGGGCCAATGTCACTTCCTATATTGCAAGTTTGGCAATGAACAGAAATGTTTCTATTGTTATGACTCAGGAGGGAGGATTACTACTGGTATTTATTGGGTAGAGATAGAAGGAATGCTACTAAATAATGTATAGAAAGCCTTCATTGCAACTTTCACATTTGCTGCCTCTGATATTCTTCGCTTCATGAAAAGACTAAACACCTTTCATGAAGGATTAAACACTTTTCTTCACCAAATCCTCCAATACTTCCCTATTGTACTCGTAATCTTTCTCATCCCATACAAGGCCCTAATCTTTGTGTTCCCATCTCTCACCATTCTCTTGCTTGTTCACACACCAATAATGCTCCTGCCTCAGGGCATTTGCACTTTCTATTCCTTCTGTACACTTTCTCCTTATATGCCCAAGGCTTGCTCCATCACTTCTTTCTTTGTATTATGACACCCTCCTCTTCATTTCACTTTACCTGCTCCTTTTCTTCATTGCATTTATCAACACTTAACATAATATATTATTTATCTGGTTGTTGTTTATTCCCTGTATTCTCTTTCTAAAACACATGCTCAAAGGGATTAGGGCTTCTTATTCACTGTTTTTATTGTATCCCCAGTACCTGTAACAGAACATAGTCTATACCCAATGACACATTATTGACCCAAAGTTTTTCAAATGATGGGGAACTGCAAATCAAATAAAGTTAAATACAATTAAATGCCTTCACTAGCATACTTTGGCAAAATTAGTAAACTCTTCAAATTATTGCAGGACACAAAAAATGCTAAATATTAAATTAATGGATTAATGCACCAAGCTTTGAAGTTATATATCTTATCATTTAAATTATAATAAAAGTGATTTATAATCAGGCCATCATTGAAAATTACCATACGTTTATCATGACATTTAATTTTCAGAAGAATTGACTGTAATAATAAAATATTATTTCAATTATTTATAAAGAAAAATTTCACTTTTGCAGTTTGGAACTACAAACTCTCTTGTATAGGAAACTGTGTGTGACTGGGCTCAAGTCAGTCTCTTTCCTGAGTGAGAGGGGGAAGCACAGAACCCTAGCTCAGCGGGTTCCCATTGGTATTACCGTTACGACAAAGCATGCTAAAACACACTAACTCGTTAGATCTGACTTTCCAGGGCTGAAACTCAAGTTTCGGCATATTTGATGACAAGTACCATACAGATTCTGTTGCTTATTCGGTATTAAGAAACACTGAATATATAAACAGAAATGTGGCTAAGAGTAATTTCCTATAGCGTGAATGTAATTCTGAGTTGATGACTGATTTGCCCATACAGAAATAATAAAGTCCCTTTGCTAGCCTGAGCAATAATTTTTTTCCATCCATTCCATCATCTACTCCATCAGCATTTCTAGAGACTACTTTATTTCAGGCTTAGTGTTTTGTGTTAAGGATAAAAAGATGAATGAGATCTGTGCAGATAGATCATACAGAAACAAATAACTATCCACTCTGCCCAGGCTGGTAATTAAAGAATCTTGGTTTAGTTCTAATATTGGAAACTGTATCTTTCTTCTTTCTCACATGAAAGAATAGAAAAACAAAAAAGAAAATTCCATAGAGTAATATGGGCTACCATCATGGGCATGATTTTTCTACATGACTAATTTTTCTCCATGGGAGAAAAATTTCTACAGTGTAATTCTTCATTTTAAAGGAGTCTTTCTTCTCTACCTTCTGCTGTTTGGGATTTTAAGCTATATTTTAGCTTAGCAACATTTTAATACAGCAATTTCTTGCCTTGACAAGGACAAGAATTCACAAATTCAAAAGTCTGTTACAGAGGTTCCAAAGTCTGTTTAGAAATTCCAAAGGACTGTTTTAAATTTTTCGAATCCTTTATTTAGAGAAGATTTTTATAAAGAAAATTTAATAAAAGTTTTTTTCTGAAGATTTAAAGCCATTGTATTATAATTTCTTTTTTTCTGTTTTCTTCCTGAGTGTTTAAAGAGCACTTACTGTATATAACATAAAAACAAATAATGGTATGGTTGTCAGAGTAGAGGGAATTTGGATCGTTTGGTTAAATTTCAGGGTAGAATGCATTTATAGTTGAAGAACTGATCCTCAGAAAGATTTACCTACTGTTAGTGATTTACATGCCTTCCCCACCAAAAAAAATTAACTTTTACCAAGTAATAGTTCCAAAGTTAATATAGTATCTGTAAATGATTTATTATAAGGAATTATAAAATATTATAGTTATCTGTAAAGATCAATATATATTAAATAACTAAATAAGAGTCACAGATTCATTTGTATTTATTATTTACAAGCAAGTAAAGGTTTGTGTCTTTTCCCTTTTCTTTACCTTTTCCATCATTTATTATTTTATTGGGTCAGTTATATTGTTTTCTAATAAAAATGCAAGGATGCTATCAAATATATGAACTTGTTAAAACAACTCTAAAGAATCAGAATATCATTATCTGCATGAGTGTGTCATATACACAGATAGCAAGACATAATGGAGCTTTGACTGTTCATTTGGTAAGTATTTTAAAAGCCCAGAAATAAATGACTGTTCACTAAAAGTTATACATTTGACAGCTTTTCACTATATCAGGTCGTAAAAGTTTTATTAGCAGTACTACTATTTCTGTACAAATTTACAAAATATGAAATGCCTCCAGACGGTGTGATTAAATGAAATAATGCAATCTTCATTGTAAACAGCCACACAGAACCCAGCATGTCATCATGAAAGCAGGAAGACATACAGGCGGAGTGCAGATGTTGCTGAGGCAAATGAAATGGAAGGGGAAGGAAAAGAGAATGGATCAGACATGGAGGCCAAGCACAGCCCACTAGAAGTTGGCAGTCAGAGTTCTGAGGACCAGTATGATGACTTGTATGTGTTCATTCCTGGTGCCGATCCAGAAAATAATTCACAAGAGCCACTCATGAGCAGCAGACCTCCTCTCCCTCCGCCGCGACCCGTAGCTACTGCCTTCCAACTGGAAAGACCTCACTTCACCTTACCAGGTAAGTTTAAGGTTAGAAAAAGCAAAGCAAAACAAAGACAAACCTTTGACAGGCTTACATAGCAAACAGTGCAATGGCAAATCTATACAGAGCAGATCAGCTTCTGAAACCAAGAGCAGCATTCCTCCTATTCTTTAAAAACTAAGGCCTGGGAAATGAGGCAAGAGATACCTACCTCTACCTCGTTCTTTTCTTTCTTTTTTCCTTCCTTCTTTCCTTCCTTCTTTCCTTCCTTCCTTCCTTCTTTCCTTCTTTCCTTCCTTCCTTCCTTCCTTCCTTCCTTCTTTCCTTCCTTCCTTCCTTCCTTCCTTCCTTCCTTCCTTCCTTCCTTCCTTCCTTTCTTCCTCTTTCCACCCTCCCTCCTTTGCTTTCTTCCTTCCTTCTCTCACTTTTTCTCTCTTTCTCTCTTTCTTTCTTACCTGTCTCATTACAAAGCTTTAAGAAAATAAAACTTGGAAGGAGTCTATAGTTCTTCATGTAAAATGAACCTCAGGCATTTTGTGGAAAAGGAAATACAACATTGCTTTTAAAACATGCTCTCAGTCTTCAGAAAAAAAAAGTGAAATGCTGATGATCCACAATTTTCAGATGAACTTGGGCACTTCAGTCACTTGGTAGCTATGGGAGAATGAAGTGTTAAAGGGTTTGTCGCACACTGCACTGACACCAAAGAAACACTCTATACACTATCCAAGTGGAAGAAGAGTCAACGTAGCTGTCACTGGCATTTGTTCCCAGATGCAGGAATTGAGGTGTGGAAAGTGGGTGTGGGGAATCTGTCCTTGTGGAGGGCATGAAGAGGAGCTTCCACATTAGGTTTATCTGCCTGGAGTGTTCAACAGCCTGACAAACTCCCAGCTCCAGGCTCACTCTTACAGTCACAAATTATCATCTACTTTTTGATCATTATTTCATATGTACTTCCCAAATTTATATTTATTTTCCAAATACAATGTTCTTAAGAAGACAATTTAGTTAAAAAAAAAAAAAAACCTTATCAAAACCCCATTTTCACTACAATTTAGTTGTTGGATCCTAGAAGGCTATAAAGTATAAAAACATGGCCTTGTTTCAAAAAGTAAATTTTTAAGCAATGAAATTTAGTATTTGGGCTGGGCGCCGTGGCTCACGCCTATAATCCCAACACTTTAGGAGGCTGAGGTAGGCGGATCACCTGAGGTCAGGAGTTTGAGACCAGCCTGGCCAACATGGTGAAACCCCATCTCTACTAAAAATACAAAAGTTAGCTGTGCTTGCGCCTGTAATCCCAGCTACTGGGGAGGCTGAGGCAGGAGAATCACTTGAGCCCAGGAGGCGGAGGTTGCAGTGAGCCAAGATCATGCCGCTGCACCCCAGCCTGGGCAACAAGAGCGAGACTCCATCTCAAAAAAAAAAAAAAAAGGAATTTAGCATTTGTGTCCTTGAAGGCTCTCTATGAAGACGCAGGTTTACCAACATAAGCTTTATTAAGCTTATGCACTGTGTTTAGAGGTGGAAAATACTACTTAATTGAAAGCTCTGAAGCCTAATGGATATTGCTCTGATTCATTCATTCATTCAACAGGTATTTATTACCTACTATATTTCAAGCTCTTGTGGACCCCTAACATTTATCCATGAAGTAGATCTATTAATATTTAGTGGTGAGGTGAGAAAACATCATAAGTTGGTAGTACACTGACTACAAAATTCTTGCATATTTTTCTCATTTTTCAGATCTTAATAATTTGTTATAACAAAATTGTCAAGAAGACAAACTTGTCTTGTGTCAGATTATTTCTCTTAAAAGTGCTAATATTAAATCATATTTTTCCTAATGTAAATTTCTATATATGGTCTGTTGGTTAGCAGGTCTAAAACGACTCTACCCAGGGTCTTAATAAGATATCTAAGATCAGAAATGTAATCTTGGCTAATACATCTCCTGAAAACTAGCAAATATAAAAAGCAAAATAAAACAAAAACTCACTTATTTAGTTTAAAAACTCTGTTTTTACATTTTATATTCAGTGTTACTTTTATCTTTTCATAGCACTGATGTTAGAAGTGGATAATAAAATGCCGGTATTTTTTCTTAAATTTTTTTTATTAGTCTTTAAATGCAAGGCTGTACACTATCACTTATTTTTTTGGCAGAGACTTTGTATGTCTTTGACTTTGGCTAGTTATACCTTCAGGAGTTGTTCTTTCTGAGTAGCTTCCATCTACCATCAAGTTTCTGAAGGAAAAAAAAAAAAGCCATCTCCTCAGTGCTGTAGGCATCAAATTCCTCATGATGGATTTAGGAACTTCTTCATTAGAGGAACTAATAACATATAATACTATAGAGCACTTTACAGTTTATAAAGAACCCATTGTTTCTTTTTAACTTCCCAAGAATCCTCAGATCCCTCCTTGACTCAGTTCCAAGCAGTGCTATAATTAGAATGTGTCAGTTACTTCTATTAACAGGTCTCCTAGGCTATTAGGATTTTTCTCTTTTTTATACAGTCTTGCCCCAATTACTTCAAAAGTTGGAATTATAGAAGTGATTTGTTTTCATCTTTATTGATATACCACCTGAATTGAGAAAGCTTAGGTCTCACTCTTAACTGAAAAGGATAATCTGATACTTTGGAAAATAAAAAGTAAAATGTATTATTTCTAGCGCAAGCCCAACTTTAGAAATAGTTGGGAAGAGAGGTGGGTGGGGAAACAAAGAGAGTTAAGAGCTCAGGAAATTGGTTCATAAACGTAAGTTGGTTGACACATTCCGCTAAAAATGAAACACTGAAAAGGTGGTTCCCACACACTTAATCCGGTTTCACCTGTGTTGCTGTCAGTGAACCAGATGTCATAAAATCAAAATCTTAAAACCGTATCATTCAAAGGATAAAAGGCAAGTCGTGGTGAATTGAAAGTTAGTGCTAGGCACATTGGTAATTAATACTTCTTAAGTTAAACTAAATGAAACTATAAGAGTTAAGACTCTGTTGGGAGATTATCTTAATCTCACCTCATAAACGTGCCCAAGACAATTGCTGAATCTTTCTATAATAATATTCTTTTATTCTGCTCTGCTACTTGTCTTTCCCCTTTTAAGTTTTTCCACTAAAATCTTCATAAGTAAACTAATTTGGGGAGGATCAGGTTCTCACCAAACAAAGGACAAATTCAAAAAAGAATGGAAATGAAAGAAAAAGCCCTCATTGGCCTGGTACAGAGCCATTAAAATTCTTTTTAATTTACTTGTTAATCAAAGCAATCAAAGCATATTATATCTTTGTCTTATTAATAACTGCTACAAAAATATTTTAACATATTCTTATAAAAATATGTCAAGATATTACTGAATGTCGAAACCATCAAAAACTCTGAAACCTATAATTATATTCTTTTCATGTGAATTCATTCTCACACCATTGATCATCCATGCTGTCTTTTATGTCATTAACTCTACTTTCAGTGTCTGTCATCTATGTTTTTTATTTGTTTATTTTTTTGTTTTTATTTTTGAGGCATGATCTTGCTCTGTTGCCCAGCCTGGAGTGCAATGGCATGCTTATAGCTCACTATAGCCTCCAACTCTTGAGCTAAAGCAATCCTCTCTCCTCAGTTTCTGGAGTAGCTGGGAGTATTGGCCGCCTGGCTAATTCTTTTAGTTTTGTAGATACTAGGTCTCACTACGCTGCTCTCAAATTCCTGGCCTCCAGCTATCCTCTCACCTCAGCCTCCCAAAGCATTGTGATTAGGCACAGAAGCCACCGAGCCTGGCCAGAGTCCTTTATCTATGAATAAAGTCTGTTGGCTTGTAGAAAACAAGAGCTGCATTTTTGAAGGTCAGTTTGTCATAGTCAAAGACCGACTGATATGAAACCAACTAATGGTGTCTTTGGCTATTTCTCCCTGTCATTTTCAGAGAAATTAAATTTTAGGTGAAATATCCAGTGCAAGCAATATGAAACATGAAACGACTTCAAATGAAAAAAAAAATCTAAGAGTATTATGCTTGAAAAACACAAGTTTTCAAAGTTGTGGAGTTTGAGACATAGATTTATAACTCAATTTTCTGATATGAAATCATTCTTTATATGTAAAAGTATATATAATATATAAAATAATATATAAATGTATATTTAATATATAATATATAACATATAGATAATTATATTTTATACATTAAATATTTCATATATATATCTCTCTCTACACAGAATAATATGGAAAGCATTTAAATGTTTTTTAAAAATCCATGTCTTAAGCAAAGTGTTTTTCTTAATACAATTTAAATTACAAACTGCAGGATGATTTATTAGTAAGTTACACAGCTCACTTTTTCTGCATTTAGGGGGTAACATATAAATTATTCTCCTGGAGTCAGGAGCTCTTCTCTAATATTGTTTCCTATGGCACTTGACTAAGCCACCTTGGGAAGCTCAAAGACGTGACAGATGGACACCAATAATATTGCATATAACAGAAGAATAAACACAATGTAAATATTTCATAAACAGGGACAATGGTGGAAGTCCAGATGGAAAGAAGTCAAAACTGGGGTGATCCTGGTGTTATACAAGAAAAAGGAGATGAGCTCAAAGGAGAAAAAGATAAGAAAGAAGATGAAAAAGAGCAGGAGGAGGAGGAGGAAGACCCATATACTTTCGCTGAGATTGATGACAGTGAATATGACATGATATTGGCCAATCTGAGTATAAAGAAAAAAACTGAGAGTCGGTCTTTCATTATAAACAGACCTCCTGCCCCCACACCCCGACCCACAAATATACCTCCAAAAGAGGAAACTACACCTTACATAGCTCAAGGTAATGTCTTATCATTGTTGTTTGTTTACTTGTTAATTTTTTTTGTACAAAATTTTGAGGATGGGAGGAGGGGATAAGGTGATGCAATTAGTGCTCTAAAACTGCAAAGATTAAACATTCTTTTTTTCAAGTCACAGGTAAGCTATACTGGCTCATTTTTTTTCACTAAGAGTTTTATTATTATTATTATTATTATTATTATTATACTTTAAGTTCTGGGGTACATGTGCAGAACATGCAGTTTTGTTACATAGGTATACACGTGCCATGGTGGTTTACTGTACCCATCAGCCCGTCACCTACATTAGGTATTTCTCCTAATGTTATCCCTCCCCTAGCCCTCCACCCCACAACAGGCCTCAGTGTGTGATATTCCCCTCCCTGTATCCATGTGTTCTCATCGTTCAACTCCCACTTATGAGTGAGAACATGCAGTGTTTGGTTTTCTGTTCTTGTGATAGTTTGCTGAGAATGATGGTTTCCAACTTCATCCATGTCCCTGCAAAGAACATGAACTCATCCTCTTTTATGACTGCATAATATTCCATGGTGTGTATGTGCCACATTTTCTTTATCCAGTCTACTATTGATGGACATTTGGGTTGGTTCCAAGTCTTTGCTACTGTGAATAGTGTCGCAGTAAACATACATGTGCATGTGTCTTTATAGTAGAATGATTTATAATCCTCTGGGTATATACCCAGTAATGGGATTGCTGGGTCAAATGGTATTTCTAGTTCTAGATCCTTGAGGAATCACCACACTGTCTTCCACAATGATTGACTAATTTACACTCCCACCAACAGTGTAAAAGCATCCCTGTTTCTCCACATCCTCACCAGCATCTGTTGTTTCCTGACTTTTTAATGGTTACCATTCTAACTGGTATGTGATGGTATCTCACTGTGATTTTGATTTGCATTTCTCTAATGACCAGTGATGATGAGCACTTTTTCATGTGTCTATTGGCTGCATAAATGTCTTCTTTTGAGAAGTGTCTGTTTATATCCTTTGCCCATTTTTTTGATGGGATTATTTTCTTCTTGTAAATTTGTTTAAGTTCTTTGTAGATTCTGGATATTAACCCTTTGTCAGATGGAGTGGTTGCCAAAATTTTCTGCCATTCTGTAGGTTGCCTGTTCACTCTGATGATAGTTTCTTTTGCTGTGCAGAAGCTCTTTTGTTTAATTAGATCCCATTTGTCAATTTTGTCTTTTGTTGCCATTGCTTTTGGTGTTTTACACATGAAGTCTGCCCATGTACTAGCTCATTTTTAAATTTAGAAACATAGTAAGTAAAGAAAATAAGAATGATGGATTGGGTTCTCAGTTTCTACTTCCTCATTAAGAAGGATAATGACAAGTCTTTCAGGGAACATGAAACCATAGCATATATGTAGAAATTCTCCTTGATATTTCCTTCCTAATTCTATAAGAGAGAAGCTCAACTCCTATAAATAATATGCAACACAAAAACATTTAAATATATACTACAGATCTACCTAAGAGAAACGTAATTACTCATACATACTTAATATTTTCAAAAGAAACCATTCTATTCCTTACGCTTCATGTATACATTGAGAGATTCGTATAAGAAAATTCAGCAAGCATGTATGAAGTATTTATCAGTATAAAACACACTTATTTAATGATGATCTACTCTTGATATTGTTCAAGAAACTATAACAAATTAGGAAACTGTAGCAAATTAATCAACTGTTTCAGCTGAAATAAAACATGAATTGTAACAGTTGTCTAGATTACAAAGTCAGGGAATGAACTTCTGTTAGAAATTCTCAGGTTGTCTCTCATAGTTTAGTATCTCTAGTGTATTAGTATCTCCTTGACATAGTTGCTAAATACCAGTAAATACTTTTAAAAGAGAAAGTAGATATAGCTTGATACAAAAAGTTAGTTGTACTCTAGAAATTTTTGAAGAGATACCTCATCTATACTCCAATGGAATCCCATGTTGTGTTGGTCTACTGTTTGGCCATTATCTTCCCATCCTTCTATTGGTGGTTATATTCTTGTTTTTCAAGATTTCTTTCTTGTTCTCTGTTGTTTTTTTTACAGGATTATTTTCTCTTTTAGGTGGCATGGATACATAGAGATATAATTCAATATCTTTGTTACTGATTTTGTTTCATTTTGTTTTGATTTGTTTTTAAATTTCTTTTGTTCTTACTTTTTTCCTTCTGCTCTCATATTTTCTCTGTTGTCTTTACTTGTTGTTTGTTCTGCCTGTAGTTTTTGATACTTCCATCAAATATGGCTATTCTTAACTACGTTTTCATGTTTAACAATGAAGCACCGACTGGGTGCGGTGGGTCATGTCTGTAATCCCAACACTTTGGGAGGCCAAGGCGGGTGGATCACCTGAGGTCAGGAGTTCGAGACCAGCCTGGCCAACATGGTGAAACCCCATCTCTACTAAAAACACAAAAAAAGTTATCCAGGCATGGTGGCAGGTGCCTGTAGTGCCAGCTACTCGGGAGGCTGAGGCAGGAGAATCGCTTGAACCTAGGAGTCGGAGGTTGTAGTGAGTCAAGATCGTGCCACTCCACTCCAGCCTGAGCAACAGAGCAAGACTCCGTCAATAAAACAACAAAAAAGAATGAAGCACCAAATGCCTCACTGGAAAATCTAGTTGTTAACTTATGGACGGCATTGTAGGGTAATTAGGAAGTAGGTAACCAGCTGTTTCATTGGATGGCCCCAGAATATTATTTATGTGACTCTATTTGCCTATGCTTTTAACTTTTTCTAGAATACTCTTCAACTAACTATAGTCTGCATTTACGTATCCAGTTCCCAGCACGCTGAGATTAGAATGCCAGAAGAAGACTGGGAAATTTCACCATTCAGAATACACAATTTAACTTGTTCTCCCTGTTTTCAGTCTAGTTTGTAATTCCTGCCACCCAGTGTGCCTTGTGTCCCATGTCCAGAGCTACTTCTGTTCAATTTCTCTAATGAAGAAACCTCCTATTAGGGATGAGTGCTTCATTTTACAGGACTGGAGAAAGAATTTGGGGCTATGACTGGTTTAGGCTTTCAACCCATCCCCAAGTTAAATAAGTGCATTTGGATGGTTTTCCTCTCATTGATTTATTTATCAGTTACATAAACATTGATTGAGTGCCAATGATAAAATCTGTGTACTAAGTATATAAATTCTGAACGTGCAGTGTTGCAATTTGTTCTGTAGGTATGTGCACACATAGAAACATTAAAGAATCTTAAATATCTTGAGTTTCTAATAAATTTTAAAGGTTACTTATCTCACCCATCCCAAGACTGGCACCCTTCAATATTTGTAAGATGTCTTTCTAATCCTAATACAATATAATTTACTCTCATTATATTTGTATTACATGGAGATGAAAACTAGTGCTATAATTTTTTTTTTGCAATTAAGTATATAAAATAGGTATGGTTATTTACTGTATCCCAAATAAGTAGCAAAAGCTGGACTACAAATAAGGTCACCAAAATCCTCTTCCATTTTTTATTCCTTTTCTCTTTCACTGGGATATATACTTGCCTGCCTTTTTCTTTTACACAATTGATTGTTGATCATTGTGTTCCCACATTAGAAAGAGATTACCTCATCAGCTAATTCATTCTTGATGTTCTTTGCATTTCACAGAGTAAGAGCCTTTTCTCACATCTTTCCTTTTTTTCCCCCTAGCTTGGGCAGATCTATTAAGTCAAATTGCCACCATTTCCCACAAAACCATCCACTCAATTAGAAGATTAATTTCTGGCCCCATTGCTTGCCAGAGTCCAAAAATGGTATCAGTATATTGGTATACTCAGGGTGTGTTAACATAGCCAGAATTGAAGGATTTGGAATAGGAGATAGAGGAAAAATACAGGAATGCAGAATCCCAGCTTACTATTTCAGACACCGAAGAAGTAATGGCAAAGGAACTAGGCAAAGGAAAATCATGCTGGCTTTGCAGAAAGACTTGTATTCAAATTTAGCTGATGTTACCCAAGCAAGCAAATTCACATTTCTGAGATTGAATTTCCTCACCATAAGCTGGGGATACAAATGATATATATTTCAAAGACTGTTAATCTCTAAATGAGATAAAATTAGAAAATACCCAACACAATACTTGATATGTGGTATATGTTCAGTGCATTATCATTAAAACAATTCTACTTTTAATTTTCTCAGTTTAGTGTCTGTTTCTTGGATTCTGGTGGAATCAGAAGTTAGGGAAAACAATAGTGCTGGAATGTGTCAGGGAAGGAAGACCCTGTATTCTAACAGAACAAGTTGGCTTAGTCATCTTCTTATAATAATTATTATTAGGCAGCTTTCATGATAATTTCTGATTCATGCAATAACCCTGCATAGTTGGCATTAATAACCGCATTTTAGAGACAAAGAAACTAATGCTCAGTAAGTGTCAGTGTCTTGCCTAAGGTGATAAAATCAGGAAGAGGAAGAGGAGGGATTTGGACCCAGATTTATCTGGATCTAATGCCTGAGCACATGGCACCACAAATTTCCATCACCGATATATTTATTCCTGGATTGTTTGTTAATATTTATTTCTTCCTTCTAACCTATAAGATCCATGAAGAGACCAAACTAACCTTTTTTTCCCCATTGTATCTCTGGTGCCAAGATCAGTGCTGAATTCACAGTAGAAACTATGAATAATTGGTGAATATTAACTGAATGAAATGATAGAAATGGCAAGATCCATATCAATGTGGCTAGAACAGAAGACTTCATTAACACTCTGGAAGGTAATCAGAAGACTATATCAGTCTCTAATTCCTAAATTTTTCCTGCTTTAAACCATCTTATGTCCAAAACACTACCATTTGAAGGGAAGAGCCCACATAGAATTGGACAAAGCTCTATGTTATTCATATACAGCTAAGCACTCTAACTGCTTTCACAAAGCTTAAAACATGTGACATTGAAGCTCTGTTTCACCATCATCAATCCCCTTACCCCAGAGACATAACTTA